GACCTATTCTACCCCGGAATCTTCACGGGTCCGACCATACGTAATCATATGTAGTTAATAAACATTTTCCTTAGAGGTGGCGGTTGAAGGTCTTCCTGATCCTGGACCATCTTCGAGGCTCCCTCTTCTACTGAGCAGTGCCAAAGGGAGGAGCATCGTCTAAAGTTGGCACCATATCCGCACGACTGGCTCTTGGGAGTTGCCCCTATCAGTTGGAGATCATCGATGACAGCCCGGTAGCCAAGTTTACATTGTCACTTTGATGCCTGTGGTGTATTTAGTTCAAATGTAGCCTGTGAGCATGCAAACGATTAATGGTGGACTATACATTCTTCGTAGTTAGGCTTATTCGCTGTGCAGAGTTGCGTCCCTTGGGCATGCCAGAAACCTATGATTGTGGGTTCGAATCCCGGTTCGCCCCAATTATGTTTCCAGGTTTGTCAGCACCATTCCCGTGCTCGTGGGTTTCACCGAGTGGTAAACGTCTGAGACCTGCATCACTTCGGACTTTCCTCACACATTAGGCTGACACGCCGTGATATAACTGGAATACTGTTAAAAGCAGCGTTAAACCTAACTCACTCACTCACGCGTAGTTAGGCTAAACATCTTTCGAGAACCCCTCCTATTATATGATACAAATCATCTGTTAAATATATAGCAGTCACCACCTCAAGTCGTTCTTAACGACATACACATAATACTTTTTTCCAGAAAATGCCATTTTAGTTTCACATTTAATAATGTCGCAGGGCCTGGCAGACATCAGATTTTCCCTTCAATATTTTCAAGTAAATAACAGTCTGTATGGACAAGGGAACGTAGACTCATTTACAAGTGCTGCTCAGAAAGTTTAATAACCTTATGGTTAAACCAAGAACAGATATTTCATTCAAAGGCATTTCCTGGAGGGTGAGGTGACATGACGTGAAATGGTTGGTTGGTTTGTTGTTTTACTCCGCACTCAGCAATATTCCAGATATTAAATATTCGAGTCTGGACCAGACAATCCAGTGATTGATATCATGAGCAATGATCCACGCAATTGGGATCGATGACATGCATCAACCAAGTCAGTGACCCCGACCATCCGATCCCATTAGTCGCTTCTTACGACCGGCATAGTCGCCTTTTACGGCAAGCATGGGTTGCTGAAGACCTATTCTACCCCGATCTTCACGGGTCGACGTGAAATGGAGAATTTCACCCAAGTATCTTTTGATATCAAATATCGACATGAGTCGATAAACGTTTTAAAAAACCCAAGGCTTGACTAGACTAAAAACATATATAAAAATATCCATACTATCCAAGTATTTCCATTTTATCCCCTTCATCAATATGGAAAGAATTGTTGTTCCCACTGCAGTAAATCCTGCTTTAAATAATGACAAAAGAAGGTGCAAATCTATTAATATATTTTATTATTTATTAAAATATACAATAGTTAAAGAGATTCGCATTCCATCATAAAACAATGATTTCACCTACACCACAGGTATCACTAAAATATTTGTGTAAAGCTTTGGCATAAAAACAGTTACGACTATGGAAAACAGCATATCAAACTGTCAACAAGCACTTCATGATTAGAGTCGTAGGTTAATGCTGCACCAAACAAACAGCGTCTTCCCGAGGCAAGGGCGTTAACTGACTTTAAAAGTCCAGTTCCCACCCTTGACGAACTAGGTTGGAATTGTTTCTAGCCTCGATGGTAGCACCACCAGTGGCCTTCTATGTCCCTCCTATTGGCAATCAGATTCCATCACTCATATGGAATTTGAATTTGAATTTGCTTCAAGCAAATGAAGGCGCCCGGTCAAAACGACCTGATCGATAATCAAGGTCTATATTATAATAAACATCAAAACACGAAATATCAAATCACTTGAACACTTTGATTATGAACATGAAAATATTTGCAAAATATATGTCAACGCCCAGTTGGCAGAACACTTGTTTTGCAAATCTTGCAGTCGACAGCACATTGAAATCCATGTTGTCCAGGAGCGGAGGTCTAGTTCCTTAACTCGATTTTGAGTGGACAATAGACTCGTTAGCCCAGCCAAAATGCAACTCCAGTATTCCAGCCTAGTTGGCATGGTGGGAACTGGACTTTTATAGTCAGTTATTGACCTTGCCTTGGGAAGATGAACAAACAGGTAAGTACACCTAAAACCGATTTACCTTAAGACACAGGGTCTTCAACAATATGGCACACATTTATAAGCACACATATATCATAAGTATGGGACACAAGGTAACAAAACAAGACATTTCCACTTCAAATGGTCCATAGAGTGGATAATTGTGTAGTGATCAGTTTTAAAATGTTTGTCATCTTGTCTGCCATGCTTCCAAACCAAGGAAACATCTCGTCAACAGACACATGAAATGTGAACATAGTGAGTCACTGTTCATCTTGGCGAACAGACACATGACATGTGAACATAGTGAGTCACTGTCCATCTTGGTGAACAGACACATGAAATGTGGACATAGCGCTGTCATTGTTCATCTTGGTGAACAGACACATGAAATGTGGACATAGTGAGTCATTGTTCATCTTGGTGAACAGACACATGACATGTGGACATAGTGAGTCATTGTTCATCTTGGCGAACAGACACATGAAATGTAAACATAGTGAGTCATTGTTCATCTTGGCAAACAGACACATGACATGTGGACATAGTGAGTCATTGTTCATCTTGGTGAACAGACACATGAAATGTGGACATAGCGCTGTCATTGTTCATCTTGGTGAACAGACACATGAAATGTGAACATAGTGAGTCATTGTTCATCTTGGTGAACAGACACATGACATGTGAACATAGTGAGTCATTGTTCATCTTGGTGAACAGACACATGAAATGTAAACATAGTGAGTCATTGTTCATCTTGGCGAACAGACATATGAAATGTGGACATAGCGCTGTCATTGTTCATCTTGGTGAACAGACATATGAAATATGAACACAGCGCTGTCATTGTTCATCTTGGTGAATAGACACATGAAATATGAATATAGCACTGTCATTGTTCATCTTGGTGAACAGACACATGAAATATGAATATAGCACTGTCATTGTTCATCTTGGTGAACAGACACATGAAATATGAATATAGCACTGTCATTGTTCATCTTGGTGAACAGACACATGAAATATGAATATAGCACTGTCATTGTTCATCTTAATTCATATGTAGTGACCTCAATCTAGTTCAGCTTTCTGATAGAATGTGGATATTTGAGTTTATTCATTTTAATGGCAATAATATTACTTTTTATATGCCTATCCACAAATGATCATCGGAAACACAGAAGTAGAATCAGGTTACATGGCAACGGTAACTGTACACATAATGTAATCTTTGGTACAAAGTCTCCAAATATGTGGAGAAATTTCACTTTTGTAATATAAGAATTTTGCATCTGTTGAATACTGTTTCGGGTTGACAAGAATTACAAAAAACATTTGACATATATTTGTAACAAAGTGTGTGATTTTTCCTATATACCCTGATTCATTTAAATATGTGGTCTCATACACCAAAAACTGCATGACAATTTGCAACCCTTAATCACCCTCACAAACCGAAGCCCTGTTGCCTATCTTCAGTCCTTCTACTTGCAATCTTTGACACACTGTATACAAACATGACATTGTATACAAACTTGTTATTTATAGGTGTGCACCACTACTGCACATACCACAGGCCTCTATCAGCTGGGTCATGTCACAGTCTAATGGGTGTTTGTGATGTTTCTGTAGATTAGAAACAGTTGGAATATTCTCTCACATCCAGACTTAATTCAACGTCTTTGGTCCAAAATGATATCAAAATTATTCAAATGGAATCCACATGAAGCCATAACATAGTTTTTCAATGTTACAAATTAACAGAAATTAGCAAGATGTACCACAGATCTAATCTAGAGACATAAGAATGCACCGAAGATCTTGAGTCCTATCAAGGCTCTTGGTTGTACATGCTTATTCAGTTGTGTGTAACCTTTAACCTTAAAGCACAGACTAATACTCCTGCCATGTGAGGGCTTGCTATTCCTCACTTCATCTAATAGTTTCCAGGCACTAGTAGATGAAGCAAATAGCTACATGTTTTTCCTTCTGTCTCTTCTTAATGAAGCAAACTAAAATGAGGTCCTACTAAACATTCATACTTCCTGTCAATCACAACCATCAACAGTTAAGGTATCAACTGTTTAAAAGAAAAGAAAATATTTAAAAATTCAAATCACCTCACATTTTTTTAAAGATCTGAATGAAAACTAAAAAAATGATTTTTCAAAGATAAGGTTCTATTTTAATTATCACTTAACTGTCAACTCTTTCCCGATATATCCACACAAATCACAAGCAGGGAGTTGACCAGACAGATGGTGTACAACACACATCTCATAAAAATCAGACCTTTCACTCCGATACAAGACCTCTCTGTATTAAGATCTGAGGATACCTCCACAGGAGGTCATGCCTAACTTTCTTATCAGGCATTCCGAGTCAAGGATTCTAAAATATCAGCACACGTGAGCAAAGCATTCAAACCAGCATATCTGATTTCTGTATCTCGAAAATTAACTACAACACGTCTTTGAAAGGCATTTAGAAGTGACATATAAACGATTAAAGGTCGCTCAGGGTTCACCTGATGCAGCCTCCTATGGAACCATCCTTAAATCTTAATGCACAGAGGTATTATATTGAAGTAAAAAGATCTGATTTTAATGAGATTGATCAACAGAAACATCTGATTGTTGTGTTTTTTATGTTCCCAATCAAATTTGTTCCTGAGAAAGGAAATGGACCTTCAATATGCTTTTGTTTGTTTGTTTGTTTGTTTGTTGTTTTACGCCGCACTCAGCAATATTCCAGCTATATGATGGCGGTCTGTAAATAATCGAGTCTGGACCAGACAATCCAGTGATTGACATCATGAGCATCAGTCCACGCATTTGGGACCGATGACATGCATCAACCAAGTCAGCGAGCCTGACCACCTGACCCCGTTAGTCACCTTTTACAACAAGCATAGTCGCCTTTTACGGCAAGGACGAGTTGCTGAAGACCTATTCTACCCCGGATCTTCATGGGTCTATCCAGATCTCAAAGTGTTTGCAAAGCTAAATGATTATCGACTCTTTGTTGATGAGCTTAAGTAAATATAGAATACACAGACATATGAGGTTTCTGACTTTAAAATAAACCCTCCTTTTGGTGTTTCTATGGCACATGGACGGGATAACACTAAGACCAGCATGTACATGGAGGTCGGGTCGCTGTAGTGCAATTTTAACACACCGAGACACACAGAACAGACCGATCATGCAAACATAACAACCTCACACACATCGGTGAGTTCTACAGTGACACACGACATATCACCAGTGAGTCTGTCAGACATACAACGGCAAGTACAATAATATTGTTTAAGTATTTGTTCAACTGATTTTAAAACAGTTTCCTAGTGTTGCTCCGTACACAGTTTTTCAATGTTACAAATTAACAGAAATTAGCACGATGTACCAGAGATCTAATCTAGAGACATAACAATGCACCGAAGATCTTGAATCCTACCAAGGCTCTTGGTTGTACATGCTTATTCAGTTGTGTGTAACCTTTAACCTTAAAGCACAGCCTAATACTCCTGCCATGTGAGAGCTTGCTATTTGATCACCCAAAGTACACTTAATTCCCAATTAGGTACTGCAACAGTCCATTTCATGGAACTGTTTGTTGAAAGTCACATTTGGCTGTGCTATAATTCAGATAGAAAACAGGTAACAGTAAATCCCCAGGTTACAGAGTTTCTGCATGTTTTCCCCTTTGTCATCCCTGTAACTGTACCACAACAATGATGGTAACTAGAAACACACCAGTGTGGCCAAGGTATGTTCACTGCTTCAGGAACTCACCACAACAAATCAGCATAGATCCAGCCTTAAACACTGCACTGCAGATTTTACCTATCCAGACAGAACTTCTGCAGCCATGAGGGGGACAAACCTGCTTAAGGCTTAAAAAAATAAAAGAATTGGATCTCAGGCAATGGCTTTTGAAAATATAGTGTGGGTGGGCGGTGTTAAATTGGGGGGGGGGGTGGTGGTGTTGTTCAAACTACATGTGGTATGTAACCAAATAAAATGTTTGGTGTTTTTTTTCAAAATTGAAATAAAGACGAAACGGGTGGCGAACTTATGATGATATGGGCGGTGCCTGAGAACTAAGACTATTATTTTTTTTAGCCTAAGGAATAATTCAAGTAAACAAATCAAAGACATTCAACTGATGGTGAACAATTGCTTCCTTTTCATGACCTAAGGAATATTTCCTGTATGTAAAGATTGATATTGTTCACTTCGCTTCCTGTTCCAAACTCAACACATCAGCACATCAGCACACAAACAGAGACTACAGAGCTAGATTACTAATTAGATGCATGATTATCTCAACAATTCTGTTAACACAAGATCATATCCAACACTACAGGGAGGAAAAGATAAGTGAAAGTGACTGATTGAAATCATCATAAATTATTAATGATAGATAAAAACCTGGTAATGTCTTTACCACAAAGTCAAACAGCCTATCGGAATACAGTTATGACGCTTGATATGAAACAAATAATTACTACATTTTGAGCATTAAGACAAAAGTAATGAGCATAAATTCATTTGTCATGACCGAGCTCTTCTTGCCATATACTTCCTACTAAGTATACATATATATTAATTATCTAAAATCTTAGCAAGACAGTTTGTTACGATAGGCATTTTCAGAGTTGAGTAATCGCTAAATCATTACATGACTTGATTACGAACTCCTATTGATCCTAGTTATAAAGCCTAGGAACTCTGAAGACGCTATCTATGATCATTTAATGATTTTCAAGCTGAATTACTTGGTCTAGCACTAGGATAAATGTAGAGATTTTCTGGAACTACAACATCTATTTTGTTCCTTTGATTAAACAATAGCATTTGTTCAAAACATGTGCTATGAGTGAAGCCCACAGATTATGTCAACTCAAAGTCAATGTCCTTCTTGTACGCCAGCAGTGTGTTCTTCATCAGCATGGCAACGGTAACCGGCCCCACCCCTCCAGGGACTGGGGTGATATAGGCAGCCTTCTCCCTCACACCTGCAACAAAGGACATCTGTAAGAACAACACAGGCCTCAGACGCACATTAAATATACATGGCAACAAGTGTTATAAACAATAGATGTGGGGCAACGATGAGGACAGCCAACTCAGCCTACAGTTTTAATACCCTTGGGATGACTTAGCTGAACCATTCGGCATTGGCAATCATCTCCTTGCCAGAGTCACACTTCAACTCAAGCATCCAATAGGTCTTCTTGCATCATTGATTCCTAACAGATTTCTTCCCAGTACATATGGGTTATTAATAGTTGACTGTAAGTTTACAAGACAAGGATTTGACCTTAGGTGAGGTGAAATTGAACACTGCTGTATGTATATTTTAATAATATATAATAATGTGTGTGCTGATTTTGCACTAGATTCCAAACACTCAAAGCGCTAATATTATTATTCAGTGGCCCAGTTAATGGATCAGTGTGCCCTCGTTTATCATTCTCAGCTCCCTGGGGAGTTTACAAACAGCTGAGGTGCTAGAAGGTTAACTGCCACATTGCCATCTCATCCTACAGGGTACCTATTCAGATACCCCCTCGTAGATGTACGTCAATCTCAGGGATCCCTCGTCACACTAAGTGTATAACACTCAGTATTTACCAAATGTAGCAGTAAAATGGTTGTGCATGACCCTCCTCATGGTTTAATCCCCTTCGCACGAGGCTGTCATAATTTGCCAGCATTATTGCATTTCTGGTTTCCATGGCGATTTTGTTACCTTCACAATCCCCTGCCCTAAATACATGCCAAAACAACAGCAAATGTTTCCTAACATAGCTTCTGGTGTCATCTTTCATGATAAAAGTGAGTGAATGTTGTTATATGTTGTGTTCACCAGTATTCCAGCTTATTCATATTGGCCTGTAATAATTGTGACATGACAAAATAGTGGTTGATATACCCAAGTAGGATAAAAAGAATTGAGTTACGATGAGTGAGTAAGTGAGTATGGTTTTACGCCACTTTTAGCAATATTCCTCGATATCACGGCAAGGGACACCAGAAATGGGCTTCACACATTGTACCAATGTCGGGAATCGAACCCAGGTCTTCGGCGTGACGAGTGAAAGCTTTAACCACTAGGCTACCCCACCGCCCCAAGTTATGATGAGACACAATAAGATAAGCCAGGACACACATGATCCTCGCCTAGTCAGCACTTTAACAAGACTAGCACAGGGTGCCAGATACCAACAGAGCTCCATGTGAAATGAGATTGTTGTAACTGATTCACACGAAGCTAGTGCACTGCTTCCTGTTCACTCTACAGAGCTGGCACTGCAAACACATGTCACTGAGAAGCATCAATATCTCATGGAGCCTACTCCCACTAAGGAGATTAGTCCAGCAGAATTTCAGAGCTAAAACTTGTGACTCACTTAGTCACCAATGTGACCTTTTTTGTTGTTATGGCAACTAACATTTTCACCAAAATGATTCCAGAACATTTGACTGTTTTCTCACTTGCTTTACCGATTTCCTCGATCAACATACAGGGATAAAAAGGGAAAATACAGTTGTGATCTTTACTCTTTTCAGTGTGGGCAACAGTCTGATATATTTGCCAGGAGATTAATAGGCTTTTTCCCCCCCTCTTTTTTATCCTATTAAACTCTTGGTTAATATATTACTTACCCACAATGTCTTCAGTGTCGAGACTAGCTAGTTTTTTTAAGCAGACTCACTCCAGCTCAGTCCAGTATAATTTGAGAGATAAGCCAACACATGATGTCTACTAGAAACAAGACCTTTCTGCTGTCTCAGGCACGCTATCTAGAAGTCGGGAAACAGACTCAACTTTCAACTTCCACTTGTTGCCATGGAAAGTGTCACCTTATTTGCTCTTTCGTTTTCAGAGAATAATACAATGTCGTGTCACAGCACTGTAGCTCACCTGGTACTGCACATGTTGTCAACAGTTTACAATGTACTGTGGTACAGTTACTTTCAGAGAATAATACGATGTCGTGTCACAGCATTGTAGCTCACCTGGTCCTGCACATGTCAACAGTTTACAATGTACTGTGGTACAGTTGCTTTCAGAGAATAATACGATGTCGTGTCACAGCACTGTAGCTCACCTGGTCCTGCACATGTCAACAGTTTACAAAGTACTGCGGTAAACAAACACAGCCATGTTCCGCGAGTTGCTTTTAGCACTGACATTCAAATATTTTCTTAATAGATATTGACGACATTTTCAAAATGTTTCTTAATCTGCAACAATGATTGTCACATATAACAGTGTTTGAAATTAAGCACGAACAGGCAAGGGATCCTTGTCACAAACCAAAATGAGAAATATTATAGTTTTCAGATACATTTTGCAATTCATTTTCTTGAATGGCCTTTATTTTATATGCTGACAAAAGAATAATAACTATTAAGACATATTCAAAAGTTATATTTCCCTGATATTTCATGTCATTCCCTGACAAATTCAAGTAAAAACTTGGAAATATATTAACAATAACAGCAAAGTGCATCAAATCACATGAGCACCTTGATTAAAAACATGAAAAGATTTGGAAAATATCTGTTGACGAGTTGGCAGTGCACATGCTTTGCAAATCCTGCAATCGACCAAAATCTGTATGACAGTTTATGAACCGGATTTCGATTTCGTTGCATGATTAGTCCAGCCAAAATGTAACTCCATAATACCAGCCTAGTTTGGCAATGGTGGAAACTGGACCATTTTATAGTCAGTTAACTCTCTTGCCTCGGGAAGATGTCCATAACTATACCAAATATGATGCTAGCTAGAATTAGATGATAAAACTTTACAGATTTTTGAGTGACAGTCTCATCACCTTTTCATATAAAGTGTTGAAAATCAGACTGTGGTTTTGATGACTTTCAGTGTGACCGTGGACCAAGTTTCATTGACCTTCAGCAAATCCTTCTCGAGTTACAAAACTTGTTGTTTGAAGACCTTGACACTTGACAAGACATATATATGTGTCAAAACTATATTCCCAGGATTATACAGGAGGTATGGATGTTGTGATATCCCTGAGAAAACCACATGGTTAAAAAAACAAAGTGTGGATAATTAACCTTGATTAAACCTTAAAGAATCCTTGGTCGGATACCTTGAACAACTTGAACCTCCTTCTAGTACAAACATTCACACAAATTTCAGTTGAATCCATCAAGCCATTTTGGACCATGATGGTGGATGATGAAGAACGACTTGCATCGTCATAAGCTCACATGACCGTAGCAGAATTATGTGAGTTGAGAAAGAGTTTTTTTCTCAAGCGAAATCATGAAGAAAGCTTTCACTTGCAGAACATGTGAATGACTTCAGTGCTGAGTATTCTCCTAATACAGCTACTGAGTTTGTGTTAACAAGCAACAATGGTTACAGTCAGCAGTTACGTCAAACATAAATGTCATCTTCTTATGGAATATTTGCCTCAAACTTACCTTGGAAATCTCCATCTCCCACCAGATTACCTTGGAAATCCACATCTCCCACCAGCCTACCTTGGAAATCTACATATCACCAGCTTACCTTGGAAAAATACATCTCCCACCAGCCTACCTTGGAAATCTCCATCTCCCACCAGCTTACCTTGGAAATCTCCATCTCCCACCAGCTTACCTTGGAAATCTCCATCTCCCACCAGCTTACCTTGGAAATCTCCATCTCCCACCAGCCTACCTTGGAAATCTCCATCTCCCACCAGCCTACCTTGGAAATCTCCATTTCCCACCAGCTTACCTTGGAAAAATACTTTTTACCAGCTTACCTTGGAAATCTCCATCTCCTACCAGCTTACCTTGGAAATCTCCTTCTCCCACCAGCTTACCTTGGAAATCTCCATCTCCCACCAGCTTACCTTGGAAATCTCCATCTCCCACCAGCTGACCTTGGAAATCTCCATCTCCCACCAGCTTACCTTGGAAATCTCCATCTCCCACCAGCTTACCTCGGAAAAATACTTTTTACCAGCTTACCTTGGAAATCTCCATCTCCCACCAGCCTACCTTGGAAATCTCCATTTCCCACCAGCTTACCTTGGAAAAATACTTTTTACCAGCTTACCTTGGAAATCTACATCTCCCAACAGCTTACCTTGGAAATCTCCATCTCCCAACAGCTTACCTTGGAAATCTCCATCTCCCACCAGCTTACCTTGGAAATCTACATCTCCCACCAGCCTACCTTGGAAATCTCCATCTCCAACCAGCTTACCTTGGAAATCTCCATCTCCCACCAGCCTACCTTGGAAATCTCCATCTCCCACCAGCTTACCTTGGAAATCTCCATCTCCCACCAGCTTACCTTGGAAATCTCCATCTCCTACCAGCTTACCTTGGAAATCTCCATCTCCCACCAGCTTACCTTGGAAATCTCCATCTCCCACCAGCTTACCTTGGAAATCTCCATCTCCTACCAGCTTACCTTGGAAATCTCCATCTCCAACCAGCCTACCTTGGAAATCTCCATTTCCCACCAGCTTACCTTGGAAATCTCCATCTCCTACCAGCTTACCTTGGAAATCTCCATCTCCCACCAGCTTACCTTGGAAATCTCCATCTCCCACCAGCTTACCTTGGAAATCTCCATCTCCTACCAGCTTACCTTGGAAATCTCCATCTCCTACCAGCCTACCTTGGAAATCTCCATCTCCCACCAGCTTACCTTGGAAATCTCCATCTCCTACCAGCTTACCTTGGAAATCTCCATTTCCCACCAGCTTACCTTGGAAATCTCCATCTCCTACCAGCTTACCTTGGAAATCTCCATCTCCCACCAGCTTACGTTGGAAATCTCCATCTCCCACCAGCTTACCTTGGAAATCTCCATCTCCCACCAGCTTACCTTGGAAATCTACATCTCCCACCAGCTAACCATGGAAATCTACATCTCCCACCAGCTTACCTTGGAAATCCACATCTCCCAACAGCTTACCTTGGAAATCTACATATCACCAGCTTACCTTGGAAATCTACATATCACCAGCTTACCTTGGAAATCTACATCTCCCACCAGCTTACCATGGAAATCCACATCTCCCACCAGCCTTCCTTGGAAATCCACATCTCCCACCAGCCTACCTTGGAAATCCACATCTCCCAACAGCTTATTTTGGAAATTTACATCTCACCAGCCTTCCTTGGAAATCCACATCTCCCAACAGCTTATTTTGGAAATTTACATCTCACCAGCTTACCTTGGAAATCTACATCTCCCACCAGCTTAGTTTTGTCGGTTTCTTCATCTTTGATCCTGTTGATGCCCACATCGATGACTGCGGCCCCCGGTTTGACCATGTCGGCAGTGATGAGGTTAGGCACTCCAGCAGCCGCTATGATGATGTCCGCGGTGGTGGTGAACACCTTCAGCTGATCTGGGGGCGTGAAACGGTGGCAGATTGTCGTTGTTGCATCACCTGGAACAACAATCATTTTCTTTTAAAAGTTAATATCATAAAATTAAAAAATAATATCTGTACGTTTCATGAACGATATTTTGGAGGGACAAAAATCAATCATCAATGAAATAAACAATGACTCATCAACATTCACCACAATTCCTGCAAGCCTACAATTGTAAATTAACAATCTTTGTGAAAACGTTAGGCACTGATCGTAACTTCCCTTCCAGTTTTGCACCAAATGGAAAGGTTTGGCACCAGACAATCTACCCTGGAAAGCAAAGATTACAATAATACATATTCCAGAACATCGTAGAGCACTTGCCTGACTGGGAAAAACACATTAAAACATGGGCCACAGCTCGGCAAAAGAAATAACTCTTGATGGTAGTTTTTAAACTTGATAACATAATCATCAATTAATGGCAGACTCAAAATGTCATCAATAGTGGTTTCTGAGAAAACTTGTCACCATTAGTGGTACTGTGCACAATGTCCAAAAGATCACACAAGGGCCATAATTCTGCTAAATGCTAATTCTTGATGTTTCTTCAACTCAATGAACAAATTTATCCCTCAATGATGAAAGTAAAATGTCACCCCTGCATCCATAGCGGTTTCCAAACAAAGGAGTTCCCTTCGAGGCACAGTCCACCATGTCCAAACACACAGGGTGTGGGAGTGAGTGAGTTTGGCTTTACACCGCTTTTAGCAATATTCCAGCAATATCACGGCAGGGGACACCATAAATTGGCTTCACACATTGTACCCCTGTCGGGAATCGAACCCGGGACTTCGGCGTGACGAGTGAACGCTTTAACCACTAGGCTACTCGACCGCCCCCCATATGTGAGTGAGTGAGTGAGTTGGGTTTACCTCCGCTTTTAACAGTATTCCAGTTATATCACAGCGTGTCAGCTTAATGTGGGAGGAAAGCCCCAAGTGATGCAGGTCTCAGTCATTTACCACGAGCACGGGTATGGTGCTGACAAACCTGGATACATAATCGGGGTGACCCGGGATTCGAACCCACAATCATAGGTTTCTGGCGTGCCCAAGGGACGCAGCTCTGCACAGCGAATCACGGCACCTTAGACGACTGGGCCACCCGTGCTCCCCTCCCCCTATAGGGTAAAGGAAGTATAACATATAGAGCGTAAAATATTAATTGTGGATGTTATTTTTTAACTTGATCTACATATGTACCACATAACTATGTATACATGTGTTTCCAGTCTGTTAATTACAGGTACACCTGAAGCCCTTACCTGCATCTGTATCGTTGCGTCCATCAGCATGGAGGAGGATGGCAATTGGCAGGCCCACATTTTTTGATCGGCCAACAACTACAGCATTCTTTCCAAATGTAGGGATACCTGTATTATAATAGGCTATTTATGTTGCGCATATTTCCACAGCACACAGGGGCATGCTAAAAGCTCTATTAATACCCCGGTCACTGGATCAGTGTGCACGCAACAACCATTCTCAACTCCATGGGGAGTATGCAACCCAAGCTGCCTGTTAGGCAGTAGAAGGTTAACAATCAGAGAAGTCAGACCTTTCAGTTGGAGATAATTAGTAAGACGAATTTGTCTGTTCTGTAGAGGAGCAGTGTTTCAATTTGTTCTGGGTCTGTTTCTATCCAGTCTGACATCGGAGAGGCTTGGTGTGGACACTAAATGCATCATGATTCACACCAAAGGTTGTCTGCGTCAAGACAGGTGGTATCTAGGTAGGTCTTGTTGATTCTGATAGACTCCTTGTTTTAATGAAAACAGGACAAAGTACTACTTGGCCAACAAGAACTGACACTATTATACAAATGAGGACAAAAACTTTACAGATTTGTATGCAAGTTATCAGGTATATTCATGTGAAAGGGAGTTGGACTTTGTTCTTGACTCATAACAAAAACAGACATAAGGCTTAAATATGTCAGAAATGTTTACCTCAACAATTATTAAACATATGCAAGTTTTCGACCCAAGTTGATTCCCTTAGGAGATATTTTCCCAAAGGCTAAGACTTCAAGTAGGATCACAGATTTGCTCCAGAAGTTCACACTTCAGCCTGTTTCACTCACTATGATCATTGTACTTAGTCATGACAAGTCTAAAACTTATTAACATTACTTGAAAGTTATCAATGACCTTCATTGGCCACTTGCACTTGGCCCAGAAAGGCCCCTCTCATGCCTCGTACAGTACAATGAGTGAGTGAGTGAGCCGACCGCCCCTCGTCCAGTACAAGGAGGTTGTTGCTTAGTCCATGTACCTCTGTGAACAGAGACACAATACATCCCAAACTCCACCTGGTTTGTTTGATAACAGATTAGAAAATTTATATAATTGGTACTGGAGAGATTTGGGGATTAAAGAAAAAGCCAGACTCCATCCGTGACACTTGGCATCAGAAGACGAGAAGGAACGTACCTGTCCTGCGAATGATTTCCAGAACTGCTGCTGGCGTCGCTGGGACATAGGCTGTCTGATCCACACAGAAGCGCCCGATGTTCACCACACCGAACCCATCCACATCCTTGCTTGGTGTGACAGCATTGCACACCCTACGCTCATGGATGTGAGGTGGAACTGGCAACTGGACCAGGATTCCATCCACCTCTGCCGACTTGTTCAAAGTGTCAATGTGACTCAACAGTTCGGCCTCCGTCACACTAGCCGGGAGCTTGAGGGTGGAGCTTGTTATACCTACGTATGTGAGATTCAAATATTCATGTATTGGCTTATTAAATATTTGTGAAGTCATGAAACTTGTCAATCACAGAACATAAAATAAATTGATCTGCTATATTTAATATTGAAGGACGGATTGACCTGTGGATTTCAGATTAATTCAGGTTTCAAGGATTTATTCCCCTACTGAGGCCAATTAGATAAAAGTGACAAAACCCTTTCCATGTTCATAAGAAATCTATACAAAAAGCAGAAAGTTCATTGTACGATTCCCACTATGTCATGAGCATGTGTTTATACCAGACAAGGTGAGCATATCCATCAGACCCCTGTGACAGACATTGTTACAATGTTAATCTAGTGTTGGTGCACAGTACACACCTTTCTAATCTTACCATATAAATATTATACATAAACATTAAACTGAATAAAGTTTTTGCTTGTTTAAAATAACATAACAACGGAAGCCTTGGCTGAAATGAAATGGAGTTCAATGACTATTGACATACGCAGCACAATGTATACATAAAACATGAGTTTCATTTCTAATATTTACCCAGTAATACAGAGGCCTTCATCATCAGTACACTTATATCAACCACTTCTAACATGTTGTACTCTGTATGAATAAAAGCCACTTCAAAATGTTAATAAAGCCCTATTTTTCTTCTTAACATTAATATTACATAAATTTCTCAATCAATTAATGACTTATGATAAATTTCAAACATTTTCCCATCCGTACCGGTAATTAAATTATGGCATTCTGGCACCACACAGTCTGCTAAATAGACTACAAATGTCAACTAATAAGCCCTCTTATCTAACTACTAATGAGATCCAAGCAATTCCTGAAACCATACAAGAATATGTTTCATGCATGTGTAGTCTGGTGGGGACTTGGATCAAGTGCTAGTTTTCCGTAACATTTCGGTGCAGATGATATGGACCAGCACCGTAATGGCAGAATGAAAGATGAAAAGTAGTCAATCCTGTATTTATTGCCACTTAAAGAACTCCTATTTATAATGCAATGCATTTTTACATCAAATGTGAAACCATAAAACTTATGATAAACTCAAGTTAGAAAATGTCACACCAAATGGATCTGGAGACTTAGACCAATAGGCAATAGCAAAACTTGTCGCCTCCAGTTACACTGTTTTCAAAGTGAAGAGCCAGGCTAAGACTGGTGACTTGTCTTGTTTGATATATATAGAACATCAAATAGATCACTGTGGAGTTTCTTTAACTGGTTTCCAACACTGCCTAAATACATTGGAAAATTGGAATACATGTATTTCAAACTTCTTAATGTAGTGAGTGAGTGAGGCTAAACACCATTTTAAACATTTTGCAAATCATGGTGAACTGGTGATGCAGGTGATGAAACCAACAAGCAGGAGTCTGATGCTGCCCAAGAATTACAATCACAGCCAATCAGGGATTCGAAACCCACCTTTAAATAGAAAGGCTTATTACCATGATTACCCAATCATTTAAATGAGAGAAGAACAGGACCACACACACTGCTCTAAACATGTTGAATATCATCATATGCAATCATGAAACAAAATTCTGCTTTAAAAAATGTTTAGTTAATATTTCCTTGAAAGGGCTGACTACATTGATGACTTGTGATCCCTATACCCCCCAACACCCTGAGATACAACATGGGTAATTACTATGAAGAAGACGGAGTGTTTCCTGACCAGTGTGCTTTGTTGCTTTGATCTTGTTGTTGACATACACCTGGCTGGCAGGGTCGACGCCAACAAGTACCACAGACAGATGGGGAGGACGACGCCCACTGGACACCACCTCATCAATCTCCGACTTCACTTCCTCACGGATTGCCTTTGCAACTGATTTCCCGTCTATAACACAAGCTGAGGCCAATCTGGAATCATTCATTAGAATTAGGTATATCATTTCAATTACTGTCAACAACATCGGTAATGTGACTCAAAGAGTGAAAATCAATAATGTTGATGAATCCAACAACTTGTAAATTACAAGCCCAGAACACATCTTGCATGTGCACAAACACCAAATAAGAGGAGCTGTCTAGTTATTTGCCTCATATCTTGGATTCATACTTTGCTTGCTGGTTCTCCTTGGGATGATACCAGAGCTATAGAGAAACACTGACTTGTACATTAAATATAACATGTTTATCAAACCAGTAACATTCCAAATAAACAGTAAGGTGGACTGACAAAAGTGTAATTCATAAGTAGGTCATCCTTATGTGGATAACTGTCAGTTCTGTAAGTTCTACACGTCCTATTGATGCCAGTGCCATTTTGGTTATTATCCTATTACTCGTGCCAGTTTCCACTGATGACATTCAGCCTACTCACATTACCTCAAAGTCAAACACCTATATCTTACATTCTATTGTTTCGTTTACAGATCCACATACCTTATAAAATAGAAAATCTAGAAAAAAATACAATTAGAATAACATATTTTTTTTAATACCAACGGATTTATAGTCTGGAGGTAATTTAGGGTACCGACGTTTACTACAATATCTGAAAAACTATTGGACCTACTCCAGTCAAAGTTGGTATGAGATTATTAAACAGTCATACATAACTGGATATTACATTTAAAGACAATCGGTGCATGAATAAAAAAATCTGTCTATTTAGCTATCACTATATTTCATCAACAACCAGACCTGTTCATCACGGGTGGAACAAGCATTCACTGAAACAGCCATCTGCATAATGCTACCCCTGCGTCACAGGGCCATATGATACAGTTGAACCAATCAACTCACTTCGAAAGGGTGCACGGGAATCACGCACGCACGAACACGGTGGTTAGCGTTGGGCGTCTCAACGTGCATGACTCTCGTGCACCCTTTCGAGTTGGGTATAGAACCTATTGAATGTGCAGCTTGAACATAACATCATGATAGATAACAGCACACTCCTCTCCATACAGGTTAATAAATCACATTCTGCTTAATACTCAGAGACATATCTACAAGTCTTGCATTAATTATTGTAATATTGCAAATATTGTCATTTCATCTCATAAGACCACACCTACAATGTTGAAACATTTATTGCAAAGGCAATATCGAAAAATGTATTGCGAAGAAATTGTAGGTGTCTTTAATGGTTCCAATAACAAAATCTAACGACAATAGGAAGGGGCAAATACGGTCTAAGCTGCTTACAAGTTACAGACTGTACTGGGGATTTATTCTCCCCCAGAAACAGGGGTCAGTTGATCCGATGGGGTCATTCTCGACCTAATTACCATTGTCTTGTACCAGGGTACATTCGAATATATATATTATTTACAGACCGCCGTCATATAGCTGGAATATTGCTGAGTGTGGCGTTAAACAACAAACCAACCAATCTGAGTTGATGTCAAACCTATTGATCCTTATTGTCAACATTGTAATGGTTATGTCAAGATGGTAACATTGTTGTCAAGATGGTAACATTTTGTCATGTCAGTATTGTACAAATACACATGTACAGCTTAGAACTCCTTCTCTCCGAAAGGCCTCTGTATTAGAGACACCAGGTTGTCCATTTGTAGCAAGCGGCACATCTCATGGACTGTCAAACATTAAATCAAGCTGGACAATACCATTCAGTCTGAAATGAATTTGTTATCAAAACTAATAACAGGCATGGTCTCAGTGTGAAAGGAGTGCTTATTAGACAGTCTAGACTCAGTCCTAAGGGTCCTTCATAACTGCACAGTCAACTTACAAATGGGATCAGGTCTTTAACAAGACTTTTCAAAAAGATGTTTTACAGGTTCTGACTCATAAATTGAAAACTGTTGAATAGGTTTATCCGAAAAGACCTATTATTTTTAACTGTTGGCATTCTAAAAGTTGGTGAGAAAATAAGAAAACGCACAACTTAATGGATAACAACTTCTGGTTAATTGCATACAGCGACGTTTTTATGTAGATTCTTACACTGTTATCAAGCTGGAGTGACTAAAGCAGCGTTAGAAATTGGCACTAGTCCTTGTCAAACTGCCCAATAATAAAGGTATCATAAGGACTAGTAGAAATTTGCCATTTTTAAAGGTTTTGCTATATGATATCATTATCAGCATTAGTGGGCTAAAACTGTTAATTTCTATCACTGACTAAAGTCGGAAATGCTAGAAAACTGCTTTCCTGGCTTCATTTCATAAATACAAGTCATAGGACTATAAAAAGAGCATATATCAAAATAACGTAAATTGCCCTAATATGGCCTGTCCTAACTGACGCTGTAATTACCCTTAAAATGTACTTTTACAGGTAAAATGATGATCAACTTAGAACATATTCGTGTCTTGTCATGCATGTATGAAATGGCCTATAACCTGAGGTTATTACCTAACACCTGTCCCGAGGTGATGACCTCACACCGTCCCATGCATTCTCACCATTGCTCACAGGTGCAAACGTCACCGATTTGGGGGTGGTCTCAAAATATTGCTATTATTGTACTTAATTGACATGTGCATTGATGGGGTAGCAATTTAGGATATATACTGCATTATATTTGCTTGGAAACAGGATGAAAGGATTCAGAGCTATGAAACGGAATGAGTATTGGAAGGTTGCGGTTTTGGAATCCAGAAGTATTTGTTGTTCTACAGATGATTTCTTGAGGCAGCATTTATCTCCGCTGAATATCTCTATATATGAATCTGTACTTTTGAATGTTAATTGTGCTATGTCTTGCCACAAACCCTTTACACTTAGCCAAGATGGGCACAACAGGCTTGAGCTCACAATGTCTGACTAGCGTACGTAAGACAGCGTGACCGTGTTGTGCCACCAGCACATATGTCCTGTACTTTACAGGGTCTGCATTCGGCCGAATTTTCTCCATGAGTTGAACTTTCGTCTCATATGGTTTGAAGTTGACATGTCATATATTCCTGTATGGTCGCCTTCAGACTACTCATTGTTTGGGCGACAATATCTGAATTCCGGACGTTATATCAACTGGCGTTATCTATGACACTGACCTTTAAAATTGGCAATAGCTGAAGATCCAACCAGTCTATTAACACATCATATAATTTCATATAATTTCCTTATTAAAATTATCAGTTTTCTTTTTCGCCTCCAAAACTAGGTCGATCGGTAGTTACTCGATATTTCAGTAACAACAGTAACAACAGTCTGTGAAAAATCATATCCTTTTTTAACAGGCAAAAAGCAGTTTTCTAGCATTTCCGACAGGACTCTAACAACCATGCTAAGAGAGGTATATATACATGATATGTTGTGATAAGCAGCAGATAGTATTAACCACAACAGGTAATACATAACAAGAAGCACGCAGATAATTGGATGAATCTTATTGTACATCAGGTTTCATCCAATTATCTGTGTGCTACTCGTTATCTATTACCTGTTGTTGTCGATGCTAACCTGCTGCTTATCACAACATATCATGTCTTTATACCTCTCTCAACATGGTTGTAGTCACTCCAGCTTGATAACAGTGTAAGAATCTATATAGAAAATTTGCTATATGCAATAAACCAGAAAATGTCTATATCATGGCTCTTTTGTAAGGAAATAAAAATGAATTCAGAATTATTCTCTCCGTAGTTTTTAAATTCTCTCACTAATGAAAATTAGACAAAATATGGGCTTATGATTTAATAACTTGACAATAACTGTGTTTAATTTCTGACTAAAAATCTATTACTATGCACCTAGCTTTAGTTTAGACATCCAACAATCAATAAGCCTTCTGTCTCTTTTTTGCTTAACACAGCAATATTTTATGTATATGACAGCAGTCTTTAAATAATCCATTGTCCAACTGTCTAACTCACAGGGCTCAATTTACTATATAACACATGCACCAGTGCCACCTGTTATTGAGATGCAACCTGATATTTGTCTACATGCACTATTCTTACTGTTACATCCAACAACCACTGTTTGTGAGTATCCATGAAACATAATGTAGATAATGTATAAAGATGTTCAACAGGCATCATGTTGGGTATATTTTCATACTGTTGAGTGGTTGCTGTTTGGTGATTAGTCTGAACTTGGATAAATGAGGTTTGGAAAGCTCAAAATTACCAAATGCAAAGTCATCTGACATTTGGTCTTTTTAGAAAAAGTGATATTATTTTTATTGCCTCTTACATAATATCATACGATTCACACTCAGTATTTGTGGACTTGAAATGTACCTAAATATATTATTACATGCACTCACCTCTGTTACTCAACATGCTCACCTCTGTTACTCAACACTCTCAACTCTGTCACTCAACATGCTCACCTCTGTCACTCAACATGCTCAACTCCGTTACTCAACATACTCAACTCTGTTACTCAACTCTGTTACTCAACATATTCAACTCTGTTACTCAACATACTCAACTCCGTTACTCAACTCTGTTACTCAACATACTCAACTCTGTTACTCAACTCTGTTACTCAACATGCTCAACTCTGTTACTCAACTGTTACTCAACATGCTCAAATCTGTTACTCAACATGCTCAATGCTGTTACTCAACATGCTCAACACTGTTATTCAAATCCGTTAGTCAACATGCTCAACGCTGTTACTCAACCACTCAACTCTGTTATTCAACATGTTTAACTCTTTTACTTAACACCATGTTGAATAAATCAGAGATGATAAAAGTATGTTCAGAATGGTTGACTTGTGTGGAGGTGTATCTTTTATGAAAAAGAAAATGATTATGACTTTGGTCAACACGAGTTGATATATTTGATATCAAAAGACACGAGGGTGAGATTTTATTCATCATCCAACATCATTCTTCCAACTTTTTCAGTTTGTAGACGTTAATTAGCAGTATCTAAGTGTAAAAAGTACTGCTAACAGCTTCAGTAGCAGAGCCATTAGTGATGTCATTT